TGGATACAGATTGTCCGACAGACTTGCGTCCGGCATACTTGCGTCGAATCCCGACATCTTGCACGATCAAATTCCGATCGCACGTGTCGAAAACCTCGTACTTGAATAGTTTTGTTTGGAACGTAAATACTCATATTTCGTCATATCCCAACACATACTAATGGCCCACCTCAGGAAGACAGACACCACATCACATCTGTGAGTCGGGAAGCTTACAAATGGCCCACCTCAGATCTACATGTACAACACACAACCACATCACATCCCATTCCCAAGGAGGCGGCCAAATGAAGAACGCGAGCCACAGACCACATCAACCACACCACCATCAACCACCTTTGCCCGTACCACATCTAATTTGTTATAACTGACTGTTCTTTCACACCTTTACTATTACCAGGTGACGGCAGGAGTTGAAAGACGGAGAGTGGCTACAACGGGTTTGCTAGGACTGAGAACTATGGGAGTGGATGTGAACTCATGCGATATGCATGGCCTAAGTTGGACCTATTGTTCTCGATCCGTCACAAGGAGGAGACAATACCAACAGACCTTGTGGATCCACCATTGGTTTGACTCGGACCACACCGCCCATGGTTGGGCCTCCTGGAGAATCATCCGGTGGATCTACTAATTATTGAAAAAAGGAACCACAAGGTCCCAACGCGAGGACCTCAACAACAACCTTGGGAAGACATGGTTGTCTCCGTGTCTCTCAAGCGAAGACCGACAATTGTGATAGAATGAATCCTGGAGAACGGATCCGACTCTATGGCAGTACGGGCCTACCAGCAAAGCGTCTACTACTAGATGGAAAGAACTCGGGTACCAGACAAACTGTCATGCCATCAATGCGACCGCAGTGGGAGGAGCCATCGACCAATCCCGCCTCTTGGTCATCCAAACGAAGATTGAATCTGAATTGAATTGGAAATGGGACAGCTTGGACCGGGACCTCTCAGTGATCCGACCAATGAGCAACCTTCTGACCCCGCCGGATCTAGTGTCCAAACGAGCCTACTCTCAATGGGGAAGCCCAAACACACCAAAGGCCTTCAGTGATCCAATGCCCCATCGAATCGGAGCCAGGATTGAGACAGAAAAGGGCATCCGTCGCTTGATGAAAGACAAACTGGCCCGAGGCCTTGGCATCCAAAAAGGTGCTGAAGAAGGACTTGCCGCTCACAGCCTTCATCAAAGTACATCACTGTTTCACTGGGAGTATTTGTCGTACTTGATGGAACGCCTCAAAGACCATGGGACACCTGGCTCGGATCATGGCCCCAGGCCCACTTCCACACCGATGAGGAATCCGCCTCTCCCATCACCAAGGACGAGAAGGAGTTCGCATGGCGCCCCCCCCCCTTGTTGGATCGTGGCACCAGCTACGTATCGCTAACCTACGCAAGGCATCTGACCAGTACTATGAGGAATCAGAGGCTATCTTCGCCGACGGACTATGACGCCTAGCTATACATCGGGACAACTACACAGACGAAGGCCCAGACCCCAAAAAACTACAACTTTTATGGTGGGAGTTCCCGGCCAAACATTGGGAAGAACTCCGTTTAGGGGAGCGACAGAATTTCCTACACCCCCCAGAAGCCTGCATCCGATCCAATGCACCCATGAACGAAGAGATGACGATGGCAGCGGTGGAATTCGTTAACAAATTGGTGGACCTTGGGGTTCTCAGAGACATCAACGAAGGTTGTGAAGTTCTTACAAACGCACCATTGTTCGTTGTCAGCAAGGACGGTCAGCCGGGGCAGTGGAGAGTCATTGTCAACATGTGGAAAAGTGATGGATCATCGCTTTTCTCACTGCATGCTTTTTACTTGAATTGATATCGATCAACTTGTAGGAACTAGTCAACTATAGGCTTATAGTCTGTATTCATTTATTTCTGTCAGATTAACAGTCGCAGTTACGCCTACAGCTAATTGTCGCGATTTCCCCATCAGAAATCGCCCAATTCGTCTCCCATCAGAAGACGAAAACACAACAACTTGCGGATCGGATTTCACAGCGTTTTCGCAATTTACTGAGCTCCCATCAAGCTCATATTATCTCAGTCACACACACACAGCTGACTGCAGCGATTTTTCTACAGAAATTCGCCGATCTCGTCTTCCATCAAAGACGAGGACAATCAACATTTTGGAATTCGTCTTTGAGAGATTTATCACCTTCGAGAGTCATATCATTGAATCGCTTGGATCGATCTTTAATCCGAGTAAGGTGAGCTTTCGAGTCGATTGCAAATGTTGATCGTTGGCCGTGGCCGTTTGAATATTTTCA